GTCCTTTTTTTCTGGAGTATTAAACGATTATGTTGCATGATTTAGAGCTGCACAAAATAGATAAAAGAGCTCTACAACTGCTGTCAAATCTTTCTCAATTAATCCCGTTTTCGGTTAATTGTCGATGTGACAGGAGAGGAATATACTTAGCCAACAAGCATTTCCCTCGACATTCAGAATCAGCACTGACTCCATGTTCTGTCACTTGTACGGTGGTGTTTCGTAATGTAATTCTGCAGTTACTGTAATTGTGCGCTCGGTCATTTGGAGGCTGGAAGAGCAGCTATAGGCGGAGCTTGAGGAAGAAGTGAAATGCCACTCGTCTTTCAGCAGACAGAAGCTTTGTGAAGCCTTGCGTCTGTTAAACAAAGCCTTCTGTTTTTATTTTTTACGTCGGTTCTTCTTCAGTTTCTTCTCGTTCCAGCTGAGTGGAAATGTTGCTTTTGTTGTGTGCGATGTGTGACATCTTGCACTTAGGTTACCACCTTCTCCGAAGCATTAAGGGCCTCCTCCTGGCTCTCACTACAGTGCATCATGAGTGTTTGTGATGGGTAAAGTCCTTTGAGATTGTGTGGAAATGTTCCTTTATTTTAAAAATGACCTCTGCTTGATTTATGTTTTGTTTTTTTCTTTCTTTATGCACAGCCAAGGTCCTGCATAGGCCATAACGTCTTTTCTTTAAGCAGTACAAGTTACTTAATGGTACCAGCTACTACTTATGATGAACAAACGCTATGTACATAGATATAAATTTATATATGAATATATATAAATGGGTCTTTGCACAAGTTATCTCCATGTCCGCTCCATGTGATTTTAACAGGAAAAACAAAATGCGACTGAATATTCTGAAAAAAAAAAAAAAAGACTTTATATTATGCTTTACAATTCTTTGTCTCATTAACATTTTGCACTTATTTAAAGAGGCTTATTTCTGGTTCTGGGCTGACAGAGCTGTTTTCACGCTCGGCCAAGACATTGTACAATATGTATATGTATTTTTATTCATATGCATATAAATATATGTCTATGTAATTTGCCTCCTGTGTTCTGTTTTCCTCATTTTCTCACCTGCGTCAGTCAAGGCCCCGAAAACTCAGATCTGAGATGAATCCGACTGCTTTTAGAGGACTGTTTAGTGAAAGTATGAGTTTCTGTCAACAGAATCTAATGAACATGACTGACATCTGCATGTCTGAGCTCCTTTTATTCACACTGTGGATTTGGGGCGGGCCTTTGCTCGCTCCAAGCTTTATTCAAAGCCTTGGTGTCCTTGTCCTTCCCATCAGCGAGGCAAAAACATCAAGTCAGTGGACATTACAGCTTTCTCTGCGGAGGCTTTTAAAATCTTTGCATTTGTAATTCTGTTTTGGTTTGGTTGGTGTCAAACAAAGACTGAATTCGATGTGCCCTTGGGATATTAATTGGAATATGAGAAATGACTCAGGCTATTCAGCCTAACGTCTGTAAGTAATGAATCTCATATTCACAAGAAAAAAATATTTAATTAGAGGGAAAGTTTTGTGTAGAACGTTTTATACAGGCATGCTGGTGAAACTAAGTTTGATTGACATATAAAGTGACACAAAGAGGCAAATATTGTACTTTACTCTGATTTAATAACTTTAATTGCTTTGCAGATTCAGATTATTGATACAAAATGGAATCAATGAATACATTTTTTATGTATTATTGGTTAATATAAGACCTTACAAGCTACCCAGCAGGATATAAAGTAGTTAATAGTTAGCAGCATGTTTACCAGCTGCAACATTAAAGTGATGAACACATTAATGGATCACTAATTATAATAAAATAATATGCTTGATTCTGAAATGGTACTTTTGCCTTTGCTTTTCTTAATGCAGGACTTTTACTTGCAACAAAGATCTGAGTGCTTCCTCCACCGATGCAAAGCCCTCAACACTCTGGGTCTCCATAGCTAAAGGCCTGCATGATGCAGCAACCTGTCGATGTTACAAGTTACCTGACTGAGGCAGGAGGGATGCTGGCTGCGTGGTGTTCAAATGTCTTTGTTCAAATGATAAAAAATCAAACAGTTCAGCTCATTGATTTAAACCTTAAATGTTTCAGCAAAATCACACTTTGCTGATTTCCAACCAAACTCTGCAAATAATGTGTCGATTACGAATAATCTGCGAG